CCCACCAGCCACTGGGGGAGAGAAAGCAGACAGAAAAACCCCATCTAATAGAAACCCCCTCTATGAAAAACTTCTCTTGCCCCTTTAAACTTAGGACGTACCACTGTTAAGGTGCACTGACATACTTGAAGAGTGGTATTGGATGAGAATAAAATATCTTCGACCCATATCCTCTAAACTTTAAGCACAGGCAAAAGTGCACCTCAAATAATAATACTAAAAACAAACTGGAATTTAGCAAGGAAATAAGTATACAACACACTTCTGACACATCTATAAATGCTAGGTAGCTGCACCTTTGCTAGCTAAAGTTTGAGGTGCTTAGGGTAGATCCATGCAAAGTTCACTGAAATAATGCCTAAATGGCAGAAAAGCCATTTAGCATGGGCTGCAAGAGAGAAAATACTCCAAAGCTGCTAACTATGCGGAAAGGAAGAAGGCAGCAACCAACCACTTTTCAAATATGTATGTGCAGTTGCAAAATCTGAGCAAAAAGCAAGCAGTAGTCTTCATCATTCTTTTCCCCAGCTATCAGTGATGTATTATGAATTATTTGTATTACATTGTGTTTTTCTATTGTGCATTGGTCCTTAGGTGGTACCAGCAGATCCCATAACCAACATTGTTCAGTGCAGAGAAAACCCAAAGTTTAGAATACTTCCCCCACCCCTCCCAAAATCTGGAGTCACCATAACTCGTGCACTCTCACTGGATTCAGTAGTGGTTCATACATCACACGGAAACACTGTGTGACAAAGGGAATCGTGTTGAGTCCTAGCTTCAGGTGTATAAGACAAAAAATTATCATTAGAGTCTGTAATCTGACCTACAGCTTTTATTCAATCACGTATATTGAACCCAGTAATCTTTCTGACTTTGACTAAAACATAACTTACATTTGACTCAAGTGATATCTCGGAAGGCCTCCGGTCCTGAGCTGGAGACTCTGGTGAGCAGTGGCTCTACCTCTCACCCTGACACTTGACTCCAGCGGTTAATTACACTGGTGAAAACGTGTGCCTTATTCCCTGCCTGACTATCTGAAATCACCTTCTGGCCATTGGCTTTTATGCTTTGCTCCACTAAATGAAGCGCTGTATAGGACTGGGTGCTTTTTCCAGATGAAGGAATTTACAGATTGAAAGCTGACTTAATTTCCATCTTAGATAAACGAAGCAAACAGAGCTGTTTAAAACTCACCAAATGAGTTGAATCCTTCTTTGCAGTTCTTTTCACCTCTCTGCTCATTTCTTTAAAATTTGGGCACTGGAAATACATGCAACATTTTCCTATCTGCCTGAGCGAAGGTGAATAGTCTCTTTGTTCCTGCCTGTGGTTGCCTTTGTCATTTGGCCCTCGGTTGTGCAGCTGAGCTTCTCATTCTGTGCACATTTCTTCCTAGACGTACATACTTTGTATGTGGCTGTGTTCATGTACTCTGATCCAGATTGCTTTGGCTGCCCTGTTTTCCCACTGTTTGCTGTTCAGCAGTTTCTGTATCATCCAGAATTTTTTTTTTATTGTTTTTAAATTAACTTCATGATTCTGGCTAGAAATGTTGAATGGTATTGAGGCTGCTGTCAGTCCCTGTCGAGCCCTGCTAGAAACACCTCTATTCATGATGATTCCCCTAATGACAAATACTTGAGATGTCGGTAGCAGGTTCTTAATCCATGTGTGCTATATTCTACTGATGTTGTGTATTGCTGCTCTTGCAATCGGATAACTCATGGTAGTATGTTAAGTGCCCTTCAGGAGTCTAGGTATATTACATCTGTTCAACCCAACTTTTTCAAGCAAACCTATAATCTCATCAAAGAATGACAATCGGGTTAGTCTGACAAGATCCACTTTCCATAAGACTGTTTTGACTGGCATTAATTATATTCATATTCTTTGGTTCTTAGTCATTGAATCCCGTTGCAATTGCCTGTATTTTGCTAGGATTAATGCTGGGCTAAGCAGACAGTATTTACCTGGGTCATCACAGTTACCCTTCATCTCCCTTTAAAAGAGAGATGAGCATACATAAACACAGTCATTCTTCACCCTCCAGGAGTAATGAAACTCCTTGTTCATGGCATATCAAAGGAAGCAGACAAACATAAATGTGCAAGGACATATGACTTCATCAGCCAGCAGAAAATCGTCATCAAATGCATCTGCTGACTGGGTTACGTATACAGATAGGTCCAAAGCGACCCAGGTGTGTGAGGAAGCGTTAAGAGCCACAGAAGATGCCCTCTGATTTTGCTACGTGGTAGGACAGAGGTCTGAGCTCCCCGGGCAATCCCACAGCCACCACTGAGCAAGGTTAATCAAAAATCAACTAAAGGCAATGTTTAATTATTTTTGTCTCCAGTGCTGATTTTGCTCCAGTGAGCATCTGCTACCAAAGAAGCCGGCAGAAATTTTTCTGTGACTTGAAACGCCCAACTCTGTATGTAAACAGGCATAACGCTCATTCTCTGAGCTTTTTTTTTTGCCCATCAAGACGTTGCAGGCCTCGGGCGGGAGCCAGAAAGCCTTCTGCAGAGGGTCTCAGTGATTTTTGCCACCATCTATCATATCAGTCATGTCGGAGCACAAGCTTTCTTCCTTGCTTGTTCGTACAACTCAGGCTGGGCATCCGACAGACCAGGCAAGGTGATTAGTGCAGGGGAAAAGCGACCATGGAGGCAGCTAGATGAGCGTGGAGGCTGCCATGCTGTCCCATCAAGCCGCTGAAAGAGCAGGTTTTTTGACATAGTGGTTTTCCCTCTCACCCCTGAGGGAGCTGGGCTGGAGCTGCTCGGTGGTGCTCGCAGGGGACCCCGTGGGGCGGTGGGAGGTGCGCACTGTGCCCTCCCCGCAGGCGCTGAGGCTCCCGCTAGCAACCCTGTCAACAGGAGATAAAAGCACCGGCCCCTCCCATCTGCTCTATAACCGTCTATGAATCATTTTATCCTTTTCCTGAAATACTTCGCATCTCTTTTTTTTTTTTTACTTTCCATATGCAAAAGCCCTTTTAAAATCCATGAGAGTTTGCGGTCTAAAAATAGTTACCGCTGTACAGCTCTGCCTCTAGCTCTGCAAAGCACCATTTGCATGGCTCGCAAAGAGGCTACCGGGAAGAAGAGTGTTTTCTCAGCAGATGTAAAGGTGACAACTTTTTTTTTAACAAATATTACACAAAACATATCCTACTGTAGCTTTTGGACACAAAAAATAAGAGTTTTCTGTTTTCAGGACTATGCCCTGTTGCTGTAGAAGCCCTCCAGTCTGTAGGATCTTTTTGCCCGTAGCCCGGCATCACTCTTTAGCAGATCACCACTGGAGAAAAATGATTACATGGGTGAAATAGTGCATATGTTTTGGTTGCTGGGGAAGGGGGTCTCAAAAAATACCCATTTGATTGGACTGAAACAATACTTAAATTTGTGTGAAACCCTAATTGTTTCACCTATGGAATAAATGAAGAAAAATTCCTATTTCAGTGCTTTGGTTTTGGAGCAATGTGACATCTTGCAATTTGTGCAGTTTTCCCCAATAATATTTTTCTTAGGCAAAAATATTAACTGAACATTTTCAGTTCCAGTTCAACTGAAAAAAAGAGAAACCTTTTCATTCAGTGTGTTATTTTGTCTTGTTTTGAAAAACACTTAAAGATCAGATAATTTCTGGAAGGAGTTTGGCAAACTCAAAACTTCAGGTTTTGAGACAGTCAAGAACAGAGCAAAGTAATCCATCTATATGAGGAGAAAAATGTCTCCTAATCTCTTTCCTCTGTATAAAAATTACTAGGGCTGTGATACATTCCCAATAGTAAAATTAAAGATTTATTTGTGAGACTGCATGTAAGACCTGGATTTCTAAATCCTCTAATATATAAGGATATTAGGCAGTTCTCCTTTGCTATTGTCAGCAGGATTTTCTCACAGCTTTCGGCCTAAAAGGGAGGAAATATTTCGAGGTGGTTAAAGTCATGAGTGAGGGTTTGCCTCCTGGTGCTCCCAGCTTTGCCGCATGGTTTTGGGCAAACCAGCCTGAGAGCAGTGAAAAGGTGTAAATAAGTAAGATGAAGCAGTGTGTGATAAATACAGTAATTATTCTTACCTTGCTGGCCTGGCAGCAAAAAATACTCCAGCAAATTGCAGGAGAATGGGGGTGAAAAACCCCCTCAAATGTAGAGCAGTGATCACCTACAGAGATGACGTTCATGGTGGCTGGAAGTAGCCAAAGCAAAGCAGGATTTGCAGGTAGAGTTAATATCAATGTAATTGAAAAAGTCAGACAAGTTTTCCAGGAGGTTTTGTGT